TTGTTAATTGCTTTGCTAAATTCTTTTCTTCGTCTTTTCATAATCCTTCATTGAATAGTTTTGCTCATTCAAGTCAGCTTACAGGTATTAGTAATAGTTGCATTAATGTGGTTATTTCTGAAGATGATGTAAGCAGGGCAATAAAATTACTTAAGGATAGTCAAGTTGCTGGAGATGATCAAGTTCCCAGTTTTCTGGTTAAAGACTGTTCTAATGTTTTCGTTAAGCCCCTAATGCATATCTTTAATATAATTTTAAAAACTTCATGCTTTCCGGATAAGTGGAAAACCGCCAAGATTGTGCCCATTTTCAAGAGTGGTGATGTTTCAGCAGTGAGCAATTATAGACCTATTTCGTTGCTGTGCAATTTTTCAAAAATATTTGAACGTATTCTTTTTAATCAGATCTCCTTCCAAACTAAGTTGTTAGTAAATGAGGGCCAACATGGGTTTACCATGGGCAGATCCACTTTAACGAATTTAACTTGCTATTCCCAAGATATATCTCAGGCTTTGGATAACAGAGGTCAATTGGACGTGATGTATGGTGATTTTTCAAAGGCCTTTGACAGAGTCAACCACCAGCTCTTATTAAGAAAGCTGTCGAATATTGGTTTCTCTAATTCTCTCACAAATCTTCTTGAATCTTATTTGACTAAGCGCAACAATTTTGTGGTAGTAAATGGATTTAAGTCCAACAGTTACATCACAGCTGCTGGAGTGCCGCAGGGCTCCACTCTTGGTCCTTTGCTATTCACATTATTTATTAACGATGTGCTAGATTGTATTCGCTACTCAAAAGTTCTCATTTTCGCAGATGATATTAAAATATACCGTGAAATTAGTGGTAATAGTGACTCCTTGCTTCTTCAAAAAGACATAAATAATTTGGTTTCTTGGTCATTGCTCAACTTTTTACCTTTAAATGAGAATAAATCCTTTATTATTTCGTTCACACACAAGCTTAATGTATGCGAGTTTGATTACAAAATCAATCATCACAGCTTACAGAAATGCTCTTCCATTTTGGATTTAGGTGTTTTGTATGATAATAAGTTCAGTTTTGCAGAACATGTGGAGAGCATTACTTCACAAGCTAAAAGATCACTAGGGTTCCTTATTAGAAACTGCAAAGATTTCACTAGCATTCAAGCTTTGAAAACTTTGTTCTATGCTTTGGTGCGCTCTAAATTAGAATACTGTGCGTTAGCTTGGTTTCCTTATTACAACTATCAAGTAGTATGCCTTGAGAACATACAGCGCAGATTTTTAAAGTACCTCTATTTTAAGGAACAGAAAACATGGCCAACGAGAAATTATCCGCAAACAGCTCTACTAGAAAAATTTGATATGAGTTCATTATTTTGTAGACGTGTTACTGGCGTTATCGTTTTTTTATATAAATTATTAAATAATCAAATTGATTGCAGGGCCTTAACTAATTCTTTGTCCTTTCTGGTACCTAGAACTAGCAGCAGGCATTCTGTAACATTATACACTAGCATTGCTAGAACTAATTTTGGGAGAAAAGCACCGATATATCTAATAAGCTATTTTTTAAAAGAAATAGAAATGAATTCTGATTTTGACATTTTTAACACTAGCCTTAAGTCTATAAAAGACACTGTTAGAATTAAGCTTAAGTAGTTTACACTTTACTTTCAGATATGGTTTTCATACTGTTGTATTTTAATTTAAGTTATTTATTTCTTGATGTATATGCCTAGATTTACAGATTGTGTGTTTGATTTTTGATATTGCAGATAAATGTAGGTATTTATTTCGGCTTTAATTTATTCATTCATTCATTTATTTCTATTTTAATTTTATTTAAGTTAAGTTACTGTTCTTATGTTTCATTATATTGAGATCTTTGATTATTTATGCATTTAATTTATTAATTTGTTATTTTCTTTGATTCTGAATTGTTGTCATTGTTTTTATATTCTTTATAATTGTCCTGTAACTGGAATGTGTAGTTCTGTTGGGCAATAAACTTTATTTATTTATTTATTTATTATTTATTTTCGTCCTTTTCGTCGTTTTTCGTCCTGTTTCGTCCTTTTCGTCCTTTTTCGACCTTAATCGTTCTTTTTCGTCCTTAATCGTTTTTTTCATCCTTGTCGTTCTTTTTTGTCCATTTCTTCCTTTTTCGTCCTTATTCGTTCTTTTCGTCCATTTCGTCCTTTTTCGTCTTTTTCGTCTTTTCCCTCCTTTTTCTTCCTTTTTCGTCCTTTCCGTCCTTTTTCGTCTTTTTCATCCTTTTCATCCTTCTCCTCGTTTTTCGTACTTTTTGGTCCTTTTCGTCATTTTTCGTCCTCTTTCCGTCCTTTTCGTACTTCTTGGTCCTTATCGTCCTTTTGCGTCCTCTTTTCGTCCTTTTTCGTCCTTAATCGTTCTTTTTCGTCCTTAATCGTTTTTTTCATCCTTGTCGTTCTTTTTTGTCCATTTCTTCCTTTTTCGTCCTTATTCGTTCTTTTCGTCCATTTCGTCCTTTTTCGTCTTTTTCGTCTTTTCCCTCCTTTTTCTTCCTTTTTCGTCCTTTCCGTCCTTTTTCGTCTTTTTCATCCTTTCCATTCTTCTCCTCGTTTTTCGTACTTTTTGGTCCTTTTCGTCATTTTCGTCCTTTTTCGTCCTTTATCGTCCTTTCCGTCCTTTTCATTTTTTTCATAATTTTTCGTCCTTTCTCGTCCTTTTCATCCTTTCCCGTCCTTTTTTGTGCTTTTCATCCTTGACATCCTTTTTCGTCCTTTATCGTCCTTTTTCGTCCTTTCCACCTTTTTCGTCCTTTTTCGTCCTCTTCGTACTTTTTCGTCTTTTTCGTATTTTTCGTCCTTTTTCATCCTATATCGTCCTTTTTCATCCTTTATCGTCCTTTTTTCGTCCTTGTAGTCCTTTTTCATCCTTTTCGTCCTTTTTCGTGCTTTTTCGTACTCTTTCTTCTTTTTCGTTCTTTTTCATCCTTTGTAGTCCTTTTTCGTCCTTTTCGTCCTTTTCGTCCTTTTTCGTGCTTTTTCGTACTTTGCCTTCTTTTTCGTCCTTTTTCATCCTTTATCGTCCGTTTTCGTCCTTCTCGTTCTTTTTCGTCTTTTTTCGTCCTTTTCCGTCCTTTTCGTTCCTTTTCGTCCCTTTTCGTCCTTTCCGTTCCTTTTCGTCCTTTCCGTCCTTTTTCTTCCTACTTTTCGTCCTTATTATTGTTGTCCTTGTAGTCCTTTCAGTCCTTTTCGTCCTTTTCACCCTTATTCGTCCTTTTCATTCTTCTTTAATTGTTCAATTTTACGATTTTTGGCATTTTTTATTTTGATTTTCCAATTTTTGTAATTTTCCTTATTTTAGTTTATCGATTTAAAAATTTTTCAAGTTCTCAGTTGTTTAATGTTTAGTTTTCCCAGATTCTAATTTTTAATTTAATTCAAGAAGAACAAATTTATTAAAACTGAAATCTTCTCTATTTTACAGTTTTTGGATTTTTCAATTTTTATACCTAAATTTTTCTTAACTAATTAATTTTTAATTACCTTCACCGCGTTAATTTATATTGTGTTGACTGAGCATTTTTTTAATAAGTAGCACCCATTTTTGAGTTTTTAAAAATTCCTTGTTTTCGGATTTTGCAATTTCTGGATATTCCGATTTTAGCTAAATTTTACAATTTTCGAATTTTATTTTTCCAAAGTTTCTATTTATCAAATCACGAATTTTTCGATTTTTCGATTTAGAATTATTCAATTTTACAGTTTTCCGCTTTTACCGTCTTTCTAGTCTTCAATTTTTCAAATTTTTAGATTTTCGATCTGCAATGTTTCGTTTTTTGGATGTTTCGATTTTTTAAGTTTTCGGTTTTTCAATTTTTCGTTTCTTTGATTTTTCAACTTGTAGACATTTTAATTTTTCTTTATTTGAATGAAACTAATTTTCATTTTTAGTTTTTTCAAATTTTAGCTTTTAAATAATCAAGTTCTCATATTTGCATTTTTAAAATTTTGGACAAAATGAACAAGTTTATTAAAACTGAAATTTTGAAAATTTGCGACGCAGGTTTTTTTTCGTGTTGCTCTTGTATTTTCGAAAAATGGAAACAGCCAAAAATCAAAAAATTGGAAATCTAACAACTGAAAAACGAAAAAATTAATTATCGAACAAAGAAACATTGAAAGAACGAAAAATTCGAAAGTGCAAAATCTAAAAATTAAAAAATTTAAATTGGAAACTCAAAAATTGCGGAAATGAAAAATTTATAAAATCGAAAAATTGTGGAATCTAGAAATTGCAAATTTCAAACATGAAGTACCGAAAAACTAAAAAATCGAAAAATTAAACTGAAAACTCAAAAATTGCAAATCAAAATATTGGAGAAAGGAAAAATTCAAAATCGAGGAACGAAAAATTCGAAACACTGAAAAAACGAAAAAAGGAAAAATCCGAAAGTTGCCAACCGAAAAATGGATTTGTGGAAAAATTCGAAGAGTTGCATTACGGACAGCCTATATTTTAAACGAGATCAATTTTGCTACAATTTTTCACATTTGTTTTTAAAATATTAGGGAAAAAATCGAATTTCATTTTTTCTAGTCTACTTCTGTATCTTTGAATTCCCTCTTCATCCCATATTCTTTTTCTATTTCTTTTCTTTCGTTTCTTCTTCTTGTTTTCCGTACTCTTGCTCTTTTCCTTTGATTTTTATTTCTAGTGGCATGCGGTCTGATTCTACCATTTTATTGGTTTTTCAAATTTCAGGCATTTTTGCATTGATTTCTCTAATTCACTGGTCATGGGTGTCTCGTCTACGCGGCCCATGAGTTTATTTCGTAACAACATAATGGTCAAAAAAAGCTCAAATTTGGTAAACCAGTGTTATTTTTGACATAATTAACAACTTTTGATTTTCAAAATAATGATTTATGACGTTGAGAGCTGAAAATCTGGTGATGGACGACTCAAAAGAAGAACTATTCAAATCGACAAAGTGTTCATAACTATCTGAAATACAACGACAAAATATTGGAACCAATTTATTATCATTTTTATTGATTTCTTAAAAAAATTACATTAAAGCATAAATAAATTACAGTGTGCACACACATGGCTTAATTCAAACATAATTAATAAAATCCAGAGGCGAATCGTGATTAACATATTTTATTTACATAACCATGAATAAATTAACAACACATTTCCAAGAAAAAACACAGATCGTGAACTAACATCGCTGCACCACTTCGTCTAGTGTCCAGAGATTTGCTAGCCTTCCTCTTTCATCTGGATGAAAAATACATTCAAATTTAGTAGTCGCACCTTTCGATTTTTGCAGCGAATCTCTTCCTAACACTCGCATTAGGTAGGTGCGCAAAAACAAAATTACCACGGCAACATATAAACAAAATGGCCGATTTTGTGACGTTGAAGGGCCTGCCCCACCCTGTCACGTCCGAAGAACAAAAGCGGCCATTTTGCGCGAAGCGACTATCGAAGTGAAGGTGTGTCCACCTACCGGAAATCGTTGTTACCAAGAACGCGGCTTACGACTTAATCGAGAAGTGCGACTAGAAAAACGTGCGTTCGGTTTAACGAAAGATATGTGTTTGAACTTGGAGCGAAAATCTGGACACGAGACGGACCGAGGTCGCCACAAAAACTCCAATTTGACGTTGTGCGTTTCGAAACTAAACGATAAGGCGAGAAGTTCAGTAAACGATTTACAGTTTAAGTACGCTCCTAGTAAATAAGTACTTATAAATTTGAATGTCTAGAGTCTACCTAAACTATATATGAAGTACAGATAACATTGATTACTATTATTATTATTATTATTATTATTTTTTAATAACAATTTAATTTTAAATTCATTTGCTCACGTCATTCTGTACCAATGCTTGGGTAACACTTAGTACGGTAGTTAATACAAGTACAACAGAAAGTGAACAAGAAAATATGTACAGAACGCAATTCAGCTGTAATTTAACACATTCGCTCCTATCACAAACATGAATACGGTGCTTTGCACGCTCTCGAATGTCGCTTTCCGGCGCGGAGGCGGCGCCCTCTCGCGGAAATCAGTTAACAATGACAGTTTACCTATGGAGTTTGGATTGAGATGCGGTGGCGCTATCTACCGTCTGCTTGCTCGTGTCTGGATCCCTAATTTTCCGATACTCGAACTACTAGCAAAAAGGGTCAAAGATCAAATTGCGCTGCTCTATTATGATAAAAGTTCAACTAATTTATTAAACTAAAGTCTAACTAGACCGTCACTTATTGGTGATTCGACTCCTTTTCGAAATTTTTATGGCAGTTGTTAGAGCCCCACTCGCTGAACTTTTGCGTTTTGGGTTTTAGTCGACCATCAGTTCGAAATGGACCGAACCTCTTCGGTCGACGCGGTCGTGGATGATGTTGCGCGCCCATGCTTTGCATTCGATGTTGATGAGGACGCCACCTAGAGGGAAACAATGTTGTTAAGTTTTTGGAGGTTATATCAGAAAGCGGGGGTTCTGGCGCACTTACGTTGTGGACGTTCAAAATGCACTGCTACTAACGGGCTGACGTAGCCCTTGACATTGTGAAAAGGGAAATACTTTCCCTTGAAACCCCTCTGAGGATGGTAGTTGATGGGACCAATATTTTCAACATCTGTGGGATTCTCACCCATGCAATCCACCCAAATTATTTGATGCTAAAAAATACTACTTAATCCAAAAACCCTCATTTCTCTCACTTACCCTCTCCTGCAGCTCCTCCTTGGCGATGTGATCCCTTAAGTGCTTAGGCATTTCGCTGGGCGCCGTCGCGTTCGTGTAAAACTCAGGTTGCCAACCAAAAATCTAAACAACCCTCTACACCCCAAAACAAACAACCAAAATTCACCTTACTTTGTTCAGTTTGAGGAAAATGCACGGTCCTCCGCGCTCCTTGCCATCGAAACCGTATCGGTAATCTTTGGTGCAGGGCGCAAAATCGGGAGTAAGCTGAAATGCGCAGAACTTGTTTTCATCTGGTTGTTTATTTCTGTTGCAGTTCTGTACGGTTTCGAAGGAGTTTTGACTATGGTATTCTAAAGCAAAAGCCTGTCTAGTCGTGGTTGGTTGAAAAAGAATGCAAATTTACTTTCTAGGAAACTATCTAGTTCTTCGATCCAGTACTGAACGTCCTTAGGTTCTTTGGTGTTGTACCAGATTAAGGTACTTTTGGAGTCTGGAGGCATCGGTCTGAAGGCAAGGCCTAGAAAACAGTGTTTTTTCAGTGTTGTCGAAAAATCAATGTGGATGGCTGAACCAGGGTTGCCTCCGATCAGACTGTCAACTCCATGACGTTTAGGTTTGTTGTCATCTAGAGTTTGGCAACAGACGGCCAACATGACCCCAAATAAAGCGATCAGGGTAGCGTAGAAGATGGCGTAAAAAAAGAGGATTTTTCCTGTTAAAGTAGAACCAGACACAGTTTTTCCACTTTTTAAAGTGTTGCAACAAATTATGTTAATGAAAAATGAAGATTGTTAGTGAAAAAACAATTAAGGAATTATGATTGAAGTATACATTTGCGAACTTACTGAGTCTTGAAATATCCATTGTTTTATACTAAATATGACCAACTGGATTAAAGTCGGCAACTCAGTCTTATCGGTAAACAAACTGACCCACGATAACAAAAATGTGACAAGGTTTGACCTGTCCAAACTTACAATTTCTGCCAATCTTACATTTTCAAGAATTAAAATTAATTGCAGATTATACTGATCAATAAACATGTTTTCCTATTACCTTACTTATAATAATAATAATCCGTTTATTTTTTCGTTATACCTACAACAGCTACTAATTTATTAAACTAAAGTCTAACTAAACCGTCACTTATTCGTGATTTGACTCTTTTTCTAAATTTTTATAGCAATTAAAGCCCTACTCGCTGAATTATTGGCTTTTTGGTATTAGTCGATGAACAGCTCGATATGGACGGAAGCGTGGATGTTACGAGCCCAACAAAGCAAAGGCATTCAACGTTGATGATGACGCTACCTGAAGGGAAAGAAAATTGTTAAAATTTTTGGAATTATAAACAAAAAGTGAAGGTTTTGTATAACCAGTGTCCCACTTTGCTTCATATTTCTAGTTCTAAAATTTAAGCAAACTTCAGGCCTTTTCGTCCTTTTTTAGTCCTTTTCGCCCTTTTCGTCCATTTCGTTCTTTTCGTCCCTTTCGTTATTTTCGTATTTCGTCCTTTTTCATCCTTGTCGTCCTTTTCGTCTTCTTAATCCTTTTCGTCCTTTTTCGTCCTTAATCGTTTTTTTTTCGTCCTTTCCGTCCTTTTTTGTCCTTTTCGTTCTTTTCGTCCTTTTCGTCCTTTTTCGTCCTTTGTCATCCTTTCGGTCCTTTCTCGTCCTTTTCGTCCTCTTCGTCCTTTTTCGTCCTGTTTTGTCCTTTCCGTCCTTTTTCGTCCTTCAACGTCCTTTTTCGTCCTTTTCGTCCACTGTCGTCCTTTTTTGCCCTTTCCGTCCTTTTTCGTCCGTAATCGTTCTTTTTCGTCCTTTTCGTTGTTTTTTGTCCCTTTCGTCCTTTTCCGTCCTTTTTTATCCTTTTCGTTCTTTTCGTTCCTTTTCGTCTTTTTCGTCCTCTTTGTCCTTTTCGTCCTTTTTCGTCCTTAATCGTTCTTTTTCGTCCTTAATCGTTTTTTTCATTCTTGTCGTTCTTTTTTGTCCGTTTCTTCCTTTTTCGTCCTTATTCGTCCTTTTCGTCCATTTCGTAATTTTAGTCATTTTTCGTCATTTTTCGTCCTCTTTTCGTCCTTTTCGTACTTCTTGGTCCTTTTCGTCCTATTTGTCCTTTTTCGTCCTCTTTTCGTCCTTTTTCGTCCTTGATGGTCTTTTTCGTCCTTAATCGTTCTGTTTGGTCCTTTTCGTCCTTTTCGTCCTTTTTCGTCCTTTATCGTCCTTTCCGTCCTTTTCGTCTTTTTTCGTCCTTTATCGTCCTTTCTCGCCCTTTTCGTGCTTTTCGTCCTTTTCATCTTTATTCGTGCTTTTTTCGTCCTTTGCTACCTTTTTCGTCCTTTTTCGTCCTCTTCGTACTTTTTCGTCTTTTTCGTATTTTTCGTCCTTTTTCATCCTTCATCGTCCTTTTTCGTCCTTCTCGTCCTTTTTCGTGCTTTTACGTATTTTTCCTTCTTTTTCGTCCTTTTTCGTCCTTATCGTCCTTTTTCGTGCTTATTCGCACTTTTTCTTCTTTTTCGTCGTTTGTCATCCTTTATCGTCCTTTTTCGTCCTTTTCGTCCGTTTTCGTTATTTTTCGTCCTCTTCGTTCTTTTTCATCTTTTTCGTATTTTTCGTCCTTTTTCATCCTTTACCGTCCTTCTCGTCCGTTTTCGTCTTTTTTCGTCCTTCTCCGTCCTTTTCGTCCTCTTTCGTCCTTTTCGTCCTTTTTCTTCCTCCTTTTCGTCCTTGTTGTGCTTGTAGTCCTTTCAGTCCTTTTCGTCCTTTTCGCCTTTCTTGTATTTTTCGTCCTTTTCGCCCTCATTTGTCCTTTTCGTTCGTCTTTAATTGTTCAATTTTACAATTTTTGACAATTTTTATTTTGATTTTGCAATTTTTGTAATTTTCCTTATTTTAGTTTATCGATTTAAATTTTTCAAGTTCTCAGTTGTTTAATGTTTCGTTTTCCCAGATTCTAATTTTTAATTTAATTCAAAAATAGCAAATTTATTAAAACTGAAATCTTCTCGATTTTACAGTTTTTGAATTTTTCAATTTTTATATCTAAATTGTTCTTAACTAATTAATTATTAACTACCTTCACTGCGTTTATTTATATTGTTTTGACAGCATTTTTTTAATAAGTAGCACCCATTTTTGAGTTTTTAAAAATTCGTTGTTTTTCGATTTTGCAATTTCTGGATATTTAGCTTTTTGTTAAATTTTAAAATATTTCGAATTTGATTTTCCAAAGTTTCTATTTATCAAGTCATTAATTTTTAGACTTTTCGATTTAGAATTATTCAATTCTAAGTTTTTCGCTTTTACAGTCTTTCCGATCTGCAATTTTTCGTTTTTTTAAGTTTTCGGTTTTTCAATTTCACGTTTCTTTGATTTTTGAATTTGTAAATATTTTAATTTTCCTTTATTTGAATTAAACTAAACGATAATTCAAATTTTCATTTCTTCAATTTTTTGATTTGCAGTTTTTCTAGTTTTCAATTTTTAGTCTTTTCAAAATTTAGCTTTTAAATAATCAAGTTCTCATTTTTGCATTTTTTAAATTTTGGACAAAAAGAACAAGTTTATTAAAACTGAAATTTTGAAAATTTGGGACGCAGAATGTTTTTCGTGTTGCTCTTGTATTTTCGATGTGTTTTTTTGAAAAATGGAAACAGCCAAAAATAAAAAAATTGGAACGAAAAAATACATTATTGAAAAATCGAATATTCTAAAAATGATAACAGAAGGAACCAATCTGAAAGGTAAAGCAATGAAATAATGAAAGAACGAAAAATTCGAAAGTGCAAAATCTAAAAATTTAAAAATTTAAATTGGAAACTCAGAAAATTGCGGAAATGAAAAATTAAAAATCGAAAAACTGAAAATTCGAAAAATGGAAATAGCGAAATTTAAAATTTGAAATTTCAAAAAATTGCAACATGAGAAATTGAAGAACCGAAAAATTTTGAAATAGAAAAATTGTGGAATCTAGAAATTGCAAATTTCAAACATGAAGTACCGAAAAACTAAAAAATCGAAAAATTAAACTGAAAACTCAAAAATTGCAAATCAAAATATTGGAGAAAGGAAAAATTAAAAATCGAGGATCGAAAAATTCGAAACACTGAAAAAACGAAAAAAGGAAAAATCCGAACGTTGCTAACCGAAAAATGGATTTATGGAAAAATTCGAAGAGTTGCATTACGGACAGCCTATATATTAAACGACATCAATTTTGCAATAATTTTTCACATTTGTTTTTAAAATATTAGGGAAAAAAATCGAATTTCTTTTTTTCTAGTCTACTTCTGTATCTTTGAATTCCCTCTTCATCCTATATTCTTTTTTCTATTTCTTTTCTTTCGTTTCTTCTCTCTTGTTTTTCGTACTGTTGCTCTTTTCCTTTGATTTTTATTTCTAGCGGCATGTGGTCTGATTCTACCCTTTCCCCCACTTTGAAACTCTCTAAGAATAAATTTATTTGTCACGGAGAGAAAAGCCAAAAACTACATACAGCATTTTTATTGGTTTTCCAAATTTCTTCATTCAATCTTCTATATTTTCATTGGTTCTTCCATGCATTTTTGCATTGATTTCTCTAATTCACTGTTGACTGGTCATGGGCGGCTTGTCTACACGGCCCATGAGTTTATTTCGTAATAACGTAATGGTCAAAAATGCTCTAATTTGGTAAACCAGTCACCAGTGTTACTTTTGACATAATTAATAATTTTTGAATTTCAAAATAATGATTTCTGGCGTTGAGAGCTGAAAATCTGGTGATGGACGACTCAAAAGAAGAACTATTCAAATCGACAAAGTGTTCATAACTATCTGAAATACAACAACAAAATATTGGAACCAATTTATTATCATTTTTATTGATTTCTTAAAAAAATTACATTAAAGCATAAATAAATTACAGTGTGCACACACATGGCTTAATTCAAACATAATGAATAAAATCCAGAGGCGAATCGTGATTAACATATTTTATTTACATAACCATGAATAAATTAACAACACATTTCCAAGAAAAAACACAGATCGTGAACTAACATCGCTGCACCACTTCGTCTAGTGTCCAGAGATTTGCTAACTTTCCTCTTTCATCTCGATGAAAAATACATTCAAAATTTAGTAGTCGCGCCTTTCGATTTTTGCAGCGAATCTCTTCCTAACACTCGCATTAGGTAGGTGCGCAAAAACAAAATTACCACGGCAACATATAAACAAAATGGCCGATTTTGTGACGTTGAAGGGCCTGCCCCACCCTGTCACGTCCAAAGAACAAAAGCGGCCATTTTGCGCGAAGCGACTATCGAAGTGAAGGTGTGTCCACCTACCGGAAATCGTTGTTACCAAGAACGCGGCTTACGGCTTGATCGAAAAGTGCGGCTAGAAAAACGTGCGTTCGGTTTAATGAAAGATATGTTTTTGAACTTGGAGCGAAAATCTGGACACGAGACGGACCGAGGTCGCCACAAAAACTCCAATTTGACGTTGTGCGTTTCGAAACTAAACGATAAGGCGAGAAGTTCAGTAAACGACTTACAGTTTAAGTACGCTCCTAGTAAATAAGTACTTATAAATTTGAATGTCTAGAGTCTACCTAAACTATATATGAAGTACAGATAACATTGATTACTATTATTATTATTATTATTATTATTTTTTAATAACAATTTAATTTTAAATTCATTTGCTTACGTCATTCTGTAACAATGCTTAGGTAACACTTAGTACGGTAGTTAATACAAGTACAACAGAAAGTGAACAAGAAAATATGTACAGAACGCAATTCAGCTGTAATTTAACACATTCGCTCCTATCACAAACATGAATACGGTGCTTTGCACGCTCTCGAATGTCGTTTTCCGGCGCGGAGGCGGCGCCCTCTCGCGGAAATCAGTTAACAATGACAGTTTACCTATGGAG